AAGTCTCTTGGAGGTCATATACGTTTCATAGTTTTTTGAATCAAGAGAAAAAAAGTGAAACTGAGGCGAAAAGTTATCTTGGCGACTTGTAACACAAAATTAATCGGTTTAGCTAATAACAAATATCTTTACCATGCACTGTTTTTATTGTAAGCGCAAATGGTGTGTATTATACACTACGTGGGTAAAGTTTAGGATCACCAATCCTCAACAAAATGGAATTGTATTTCATAATGATGAAAGCATTTCTCCACATATAGTCATAATAGTATAATCAAACTTGTTCATACTGACCGCGCGCCATGTTATGCCAGTTGATTTTGACGTAATCATCCCTGTCAGGTCGATTCTGTTCGTGTAAAAATCCGATGGCGTGTCCTAACTCGTGAGTGATTGATCCTTGTACACAGGGGGGATCCCTTCAACGAGTTGAAATTTATATCCACATTTAGGTATTTTTCTTCTCTCTAAACTTATCAAGACTACTTGGGCCGTTAATTCACAGTATTTAGCTGCTCAGTAAATTTAGAGTTATCAAATTCAAATTGCAGAGCAATCATTGCTCAATTTATTTGCAAAATTTATTTGAAAGTAACAATTAAGTATGATTTTTGAGCATAACAAACGACTCTTTCCCACAAAATAAGTTAAACGTTACAAACTGGTTTACAATGGAGATACTGTACGTGGAACCAAAAACCCAGAAATATTTGATAAGAGGAGATTGAGATAATAATAAACGAGTGTGGAGCCAGTAGCCACTGCAGTTTGAGAGGCTGCATGTCAGCGAAGTAGTTCGTCCGAGAGTTTACAGGAGGACGTGAGTAATTCTACTACGTGTCTGAATCGCGGATGAAAAATGTGTATTTCAATCAGACTAGACTGGACTAGGGAAAAGTAATTTTATCATGATCTCCATTCAATTAGGCAGGTTAAGAGGGATTTATGTAACTCGCAAACAGTAGTTTCATAGTGGTGATGCAGCTTAAGCGCGCCTTTTATAACTCACTCAGTGTACCGTCCAATAGAGACTTCTTGACGTCTACCAATATGGCCAAGATACGACCAGCAGCTGTTGAAAGTAGAGACAACACCGGGTAATTACTTTAAAGTTTAACAATAAAACGGTACGTACTATTACTTTAGGGAGTAAATACCTATATTTACGGAAATTTTTCACACTGACAAAGTAACGGTTCTGTCTTGAGCAACTTTCGTAATGTTAATTTGACCCTCTACTTACCCCCTTTTGTAGACAAACTCGAGGTATCCTTTCTCTGACTCTCTCTGTTTAAATCGAAGACAAGGAACATGATCCGTCCAGTCTTTCATCGAGTTTCTAATCAGTTGCCTTCCTCTAGCGTCTAATTATATGAATGAGGAACGTTTACAAAGGCAAATATCGGAATGATTCATGTGTTGAAAGAATTAAAAGGCAACGCAAAGGACCGAAAGGTTTCGGTTAAGATTTAGCGCCAATGCAACTATGAATAATAAATCTTATTAGACATTTTCGTGTGTAGTGTCGCTGAGTATTTCCACGAGTTGTGCCATATTTTGAAGAGCGCGTACAGCGAGTCAAAATACAAACAAGGCGCAGTCAACTGGTTAAACAGATGTTTTTACAATAAAAAATAACCAACTGTACAAATAACCGTAGGATATCGCAGGATATTTGTACTCTCTTCAAGCGTTATTTACACTCTACTCAGTGCGGTTGGATAATAAGTGTAAGGATACTGACTGATAAAGCTCTAGACTAGAGTCTGATGGAGAAAAGTAACTGATCAGGTACCGATTGCATAACTTATTTTAAACGGGACAATTCCGCCTGGCCAAAGTTGACGTGGATTCTTTATGGCGTCTCTTGTTTGAGCCTCCTGATTCCAGTCTGCTGACTTGTTGAAGGTTGGCCGTGACTGCCTAAGAATTTCGGCCTGTTCTTTAGTTAGTGCAATGTCTCCCTCGTACAGTTCGGGCACATCGTCTTCGTAATCGGGTACTGAGAGATGAACAACAATAATTCACAAAAGACACCCAAGCTGACTCCCATGAATTTTCCACTGTATTTAAAAATCGAACAGAAACAAACAAACAAACAAACAAACAAAATACTTCTCTACGGCCCGTAAGTGATTAAGAGAAATGCACTGCATTACTGAAAATTGGGAGTATATTAAGAAAAGAAAAAAAGTTTTACTTCATTTAGGTTGGAGAAAAGGACCGATTTTTGGGTTGACGTTTTGAATTGCAAAAAGCAACCGTTATCAGTGCATTGGTTGAGTAACATGGGATGTCGATCTATTATTAGGCTTTGATTTAATTCCACCTTAAATCATTCTCTGTTAGCCCTGAGGAAGATCTATCAATCGAATTAATTTACATGACATAGATCTATTCATTGATTGTGATCGTGAAATGAAATCTTTGTTAAGCTCTTTGTATCCCACCAGCCACTTGTCGTTTCAACGAATAGCACCATCTTTTTTCCATCCTTGAGTAACAGTTTTGTCAACAATACCATACGTTTGGCTAAAATTATTTGTAGTGCAAAGGGTTACCTTAGGGACTTAACATAACAATTTCATCATAAAATGTGGCCTTCATTTCAATGATCTTCTGTCACCTACTGAGTGGAAACTTTCGCCTACCGAGCACTCCTAATAACTTGTCTGTCTCATTTTGTTTACAAATATAAAAATTGTTAGTGTCGTATCTAATTGATTCCTTTGATAATAAAGTAAAAACAAAAGGAAAAAAAAGGGAAAATAAAACAAACCTTTCGGCCGAGCGTGTGCAAGAAATATCCCTGACGATAGCAACAGCCATTGCTTCACAAGTAAAGCCATCTTTCCTTATCCCTAAAGTTATGAAAAATTAATGCCTTTAAATGTAACACCGTCACCTTCTCAGCCGACTTCTACTTGGAAAGGTCAAGATATTTGACTTGGGAAATAAGTCTACATATTTTTTGCTTTAAGTCATATTTCTTTTCATACTTGTTTTATCTAATTGATCATATAGATGTGTTTTGTCCGTTACTTGTACAAAATTATTTGAGTGCTGTCTGAGTGGTTTCGACGTTAAGAACTCGTAGTAGAGATAATTGTAGCGCATTTACTGATTTACAGGTATAATTCGACAGCAAGTCATGTTATTTCTGGTCTTCCTTGCTATACTAGCGAACACAAAATTATAAGAACTAATTAATAAGAGAATATATGTTTATTTCAGTCAGAGGGGCCGAGAATCGAAAGCTTTCAAAATTAGTTTAAATAAGCCTTCACATCTCATATCTCAATGCATCTTCGCATTTGTGTCCATATCTTTGTCCCACTTACTATTTTCTTCTTCATCATTTTTTCCTGTAATATCTCGTAGATCTCTTCACACTCTTGGTGTGTTTTCCGTCCTTTTATTTTAAATATGTGGCCATCCATAAGAAAGCTTTTGGCTTCTAGCTTTTACAGTCCTTAGGCTACTTGGTCGATGAAAGGCCTTCATCTCTTACAAACGCCTGATTATGATGAGTAAGGCTTCTTTTGCCCTTATCTTTTTTATGATTCTAGCGAACCGAGAACTTCTTTCAGGGTGACCAACGGAAACGTAATAGAGGGCTTAAGAATATAAACACCGACGGATGCTATCAACTTTATATTGCAAATATAGGCTGAAATAAGAAACTCTTCAAAGCTCATTGTAGCAGACTCCAAGCCGTCAATATAACCTTGTGTTGGCAGAGTAAAACCGCTATTGAATATCACTGTGTTAATAATTCATATGGCCTGGAGGCGAAGAGAACGTTACAAATCGCGGTCAATTTTAGGCTTTAGTCAATATTTCTGATTGCCTTTTTCTTTTTCAGGTTTCTAGAACATGCTATAATTGTTTTGTTCTTGTTTCCTTTGACGTACTAAAATACCAAAGGTTCCTAATCAAATATTCAAAAGAAGGATTGTGGCTCTGCTCTCTGAGGTAAGATGTTCCGCGTGTTATTTATGTTAACTCCCGACGAATCTGTTGTTTTTTTTTTGGTGATTCTGTCAGTTGTACGTCTTAGTAAAGAAACTACTGTTGTGTTTATGTGAAAATTTTGGCTTTAGAAATTCTCCAGTCGACAGGCTGAACGAAAGTCTTTCGATGAATCACGCTATTCAATTGCAGCGACAATCATAGCATACATTAGACCATCGCCGTTGCAATTTATAATGCATCATATTATTACTCTTATTATTATGGAAAACTAAAGAGTATTCTAGATAATATTTTCATTTTTACCACTTCATCCTCTGATGTTGAAGGAGCTCTAAATGTTTTGATGTTGGACTTATGAATTTTCGTAGTAGTCTGCGGTGTCTCGAACATAAAACAATTACAGGTTGACACGTTCGGCAGACATGTTTTGTTAGTGTTTTTTTTCACTATCAATAACACTTTTCTCGGTTAAGTTTTCACTACCATACCCACATTACATATCAATAAAAGGCAATAGACCTGGAAAATCTGAAGAAAGGCGCCATTTATTACTCTATTGTTATCAGGCTGCAAAAATCCCGGTTAAAATAAGCCACGTTTGGCTCCTGATCCCTTCACCTCTAAATCCAGAAGCCTTTGTGCGCTTGAAGGCCGCCATCTTGAAAAAAAATACCCACAGGATAACGACCCATTTTAGGGGTGGTCTAGCCCCATTTATAATCAGGAGGGGGATATGAACTTGGACGTGGATGTGGATTTGGACGTGGACGTGGAGGTGGAGGTGCCGCTGTGAAAAGATATGAATTCAAAATTGAACTCGTCCGTAACATTGAGGAAACGAGACTATATAAATGGGTCCTAGTGTTTTCAAGTCTTCTTTCAGAGACATGCTACTCAGA